GGTTGCCAATCATCATTTATCTAGGCATATGAGCTTAACCAAGCGCCCCACTGATTCCCTAGTTTGGCAAGTCGTCTCCACAGCAACCCTCTCAAAGAACAAGTGTGGGTGGGCGCTCAGGGAGGCGCAACTGACCCAGTACCAGCAGCAGCTGCAGGAGGCGGACAAGGAGGTCTTCTCATTGTTTTCAGGGCTCCCGGCGATCGTCTTCTAGCCTCTACTGATAATGGCGATGTCCTCGTAGTCGAGCAGGTGACGCGTGTGCCGGCAACCTTCCCACCCCCCTCCCCCTTTCCTCCTCCTCGTTTTCCTCCTCCTCCTCCTCCTCCTCCTCCTCCTCCTCCTCCTTCCCGTCCACCTCCTTTCCTGTTGTGAGGTCTATCTTTCGTGCTAACTTTTCCTCAGGGTGAGTTGAGGTGCATCGTGAAAACAAGATTGTCTGGGTAAGTGACGAGGACGAGGAGATGGCAAGAAAGGATGGGGGGAGGGAGGAATAGAGAGCGAGGAAGTGGAAGAGGAAGGGAGCGAGGGAGCGAGGGTGGGGGGAGGGAGGGAGGGAGGAGGGGGAAGGTAGGAGGGAGGAGGGAGCTGTGTGGGATGAAGAATGGAGAGGGGGAAGGAGGTGGAGGAGAGGGCAGAGCGCAACAGCTAAGGCTTGTCTTGCAGGTCCCCTATCAACAGTTTGTCTGTTTACTCGTCGGGGTTTATCATCGGAGGGACAGAAGGACGAATGAGGTAGAGGAGAGGGAGGGGGAGAGAGGGAACTGTGGAGGGAGAAAGCAAAAAAGGGGGCAGCAGCAGCAGCAGCAGCAGCAGCAGTTGCAGGAGAGGAGGAGGAGGAGGAGCAGCAGCAGCAGCAGCAGCAGCAGCAGCAGCAGCAGCAGCAGCAGCAGCAGCAGCAGCAGTTGCAGGAGAGGAGGAGGAGGAGGAGGAGGAGGAGGAGCAGCAGCAGCAGCAGCAGCAGCAGCAGCAGCAGCAGTTGCAGGAGAGGAGGAGGAGGAGGAGGAGGAGGAGCAGCAGCAGTTGCAGCAGCAGCAGCAGCACCACCAGAATGTTGTCGGTGTGCAGGAGTCTTACCAACATCTCAGCGTGTACGACAAGAATGACACTCGGGAGAATGTGGATGATAAAGATCCTTATCATCACTTCAATACGTTCAGATCCTAC